GCCGCACCCGCCCTCGCCTCCTGCTGCCGAGCGCAGCCTTTCGGCCCGGACCGCCACGCACCGGGAAACCCCTCCGCGCAGCTGCCCGCCCCGCAGCGCTCTGCCCCGCTCACCTCCCACCGCCCTCCAGCTCTCTCGGCCCCTCTTCGCGCTGACTTCCCCGCGGAGCAGCGAGGCCGGGCTGCGGCTCCCGAGGCGCGGGGCTCCGGGACGCACCGGCGCTCCTCCAGCCGCGGGGCGACCGCGGACGTCCACCCGCGGCGCTGCCACACCGGGGCTTCTTCCTCACATCACCTGCGAGCGCTGCCCGGCACACGCGCCGTTCCGCCGCGCTGAAGCACCGATCGCCGAACGATTCGGAACGAACCTTCTGCGAGTTCCCAGATACCGCGCAAGCAAAGGGGAGCTCCGCGGGGACCTCCAGAGCCTGACAAGCAAGAAGGACGACCCGCGGCGAGGCCCCCGTCCGCCCGTCCCTCCCGCAGCCCACGCCAGCCCCGCGGTGCGGCCGCAGCCCGCCGCTTCTCACAGCCCGGCACGGCGCGCCCCGCGGAACGGACCCAACTTCAGGCGCTGACGCAGCGGGGCCCCCCGGAGCAGCGCCGTAACTTTGTAGAACTGCGTTCCAATATCGTCTCCCACCCGCAACTTCGCGTTCCTTGAGAAGTAGCGGGGCGGAGCGCAGCGCTCGGGCACGCGTACCGGGCTGTGCCGTGCGGGGCTGCGCCCCTCGATCCCGTCCCCCTCAGCCCCGTCCCGTGGCGGCCGCGACCCCCAACTTTTTTTTTTTCCCTGAAGGAAAGCAGAAACCGCCGCGGTCCGCGCGCTCACCTCTCAGCTACGTCTCCATGCCGGCGCGCCCCGTCCCACGCCGCGGGATGCGGGCGCTGCGCTGCGGCGGAGCGCCACACGCGGGCGGTGATGGCGCGCGGCGCTGCTCTGAGCGGAGCGGGACGGCGCTGCCCGCGTGCCCACGGCTCCGCACCCGGCAGGTGCGCCCGCCCCGCGCCGCGAGAGTCGCAGCACCACCTGGCGGCCGCACGGAGAGACGACCGCGGGAGCGGCGGCAGCGGGAACCGCACCCGGCCGGACCCCGGAGCGGCAAGAACGGGCAGCCGGCAGCGCGGCAACCGGCAATGTCAGAGCCGGGAAACCGCTCCTTTCTGCGCACAGGGCTGCGCCGTGCGTGCAGGGCTATGCTAGGAGACATCGTCTTTTTACCTGTAACGCAAACGGCGGCGTTTTTAGGCGCTCCTCCGCCTGTAGCCATCCTCTTGGACTCGAGGAGAAGTTCGGGACAACGCACCCGTTGTGTGCGCTCTGGGAATCGAGGTCCTTCCCACCGCTGGGTGTCCTGACGCACAGCAGAAGAGCAAAACTACGGCAGCGCAGATCGGTAAAGCCGCCCCGTCTCTGTGCCTGGTCGCAGCTTTTCGCCGACGAGGAACTGGCAGGATGTGGGTGCAGCCCTCGCTTCCCCCGGCTCACACCTCTCCCGGCTCCTGCGCTGCTCCTGCCGGGACTGCAGTATCAAACGCTGTCAAATTGTTCATCAATTTGCCTACTCGAGTCGCTTTGTAGCTGAATTATGAGATGAAAGCCTTGAAATAAAACATCCCACGGACTTTGAATTACACTTACGCGGAGTTGTATTTCACAACACCATTGATTTGAAATGAACAGATAAAGCAGTATCAGCAGACATACTTCAGCCTTTATAGTAAGTCAAAAAAAGGTGATTATCATGCAACACCATGAGAATGTAGACATTATTCATGAAAATGAGGTGGGTATGCCACAGACCGATTCTGTACAAAGCTTATTTGTTCCCCTTGCTCTGGTCACACCTCATACACCATCACAGTAACGAGGCCCATCTGGCCTTCATCTGTGCCATTATTTCCTTACAATGTGTTAGAAGCAGTGAAGGGACCCCAGCTGACGTTGCAGGCACTCTGCGTGTTGCAAGCACAGAGAAAGAGCAGAGGAGAATGCAGCTGACACAGATAAAAGCAAGGGAGAGAGATTTCTCAGTCATTGCTGTCCGTATCGGCAAGAGATGCCCATGGAGATGGATTAACACGGGTAGTATCAAACAGTGAGTCTGGGTGAGCCAGGCACTCACTGCATCACCTCAAACCCACTGTGCTCCCACCTGTCGGTTCATTAGATCTCTCCACTCCTTCCACTAAACCAGATTATCCTGTGATGTGTTTCCAGAGTTTGGATCCAATGTCACAGAATTCAGAGGAAAAGATTCTTTCCCACAGACTTCAGTTAGGTTTGGAAGAGGCCCCAGATGCACTTTCTTGATCTAATTTAAATCACTGTATGCACGGATTCCCCCAGATCGCACACACTCAGCAGTGCCCCAGCACTACTCTGGCTGCCACCAGCAGCAGTTCTCCCCCAGCACTCATTTCTCACCCACCAGGGGTGGATGGCTCTGCCCGCTGATCTCCCTGCTGCAGCATCCTGCCTCAGTCACACCAGTGGTTTAACTTCTGCTATTTAAAGCCAAACACAGAGCTCGCAATGAGAAGCTTGTTTTCCAGAGCTGGAGAGCAGGGCGATTTGGGGACATTGCCCCCACAAAGCGTCAGCAGGGTGAGCAGAAGACCCCCAGTCCTGCTGTTAGGCTCTGCTTCTGCATCTGTGTGATTCTGACATGTTTCTTGCCTGAATAGGAAGATGACAGGGTGAGAGAATTTATGGCTGCACAAAGTCCCATTAATTGACTTTGTGTCTTCTGTCAGCACAGACTGCGGTCTGATCTTTGGGAGCTACAGCCATGCATGGTCACCCAGTGTGTGCTCACACTGCTGCACAGAACAGACCATGCCACCGTGCAATGGCCACAGTCCAAGTTCACCCCTACAAAAGCACCACTACCCTTCCCCAGCAATTCCCCAGCATTTGGGCAGTGACGCCAAGCTGATGGGTGACCCCACTGCAGTCAGGCCACACAATCAGCCCTTCCAAGTGCAGGTGACAGGGACAGACCCTTAGGGCACAGATACCCACCCCGTGCCCTGCCCACCTGTGCTGCTGCCCAGGGCTGCTCTGCCAGCAGCATCCACATGGCTGGAGCAGAGAGGCGGAAGCACTGCTGCGATGGATGCGAGATGCTGAGGCTGCAACAGCAGATCACGGGAAGGAGCTCAGTACAGAGAGACTTGGCAACGCTGCCTTTCCCTGGGATAAAAGCCAAAGCCAAAGCAAGCTTGTTGTGAGAGGAACGAGGGGGGCATCAGTGGGTGGATGAGACCGGATGAAGGATTCAGTGCAGAGGGTGTAAACAGACAAGGGGAGAACCCTGCCTGGCTGTGGCAACACGGTTCTGATCACCGCTTGTCAGGAGATAAAAACAGGGCTGTGCTGTAACATTTCCAGTTGAGCTCTGCTGAGAGTGAGGCTTAATAGGGTGCCAATTCCCTGCGGTTGGAGGGACTCGCCCAGTAACGTCGCTGCCGCTGTCTGAAGTCACACGCAGTATAAAGCAGCAGTAAATGCTGCTTCAAAACTTCCAAAATCATTTTGCATCTGACATTCTTCCTGCGTTATTCCAAGAGAAAGATAACCGCAAGGTAATCTTCCACGTAGTAATCATATTTGGTACCAACAATACTCACAAGTAGTTAAGTATGGAATAGGATAACTTCCCTGCTTTTATGCTTGAAGGCTGAAGATGAGATTATGAAGCACTTCGCATGTAAGAGGAATAACTGCTTTGTGTAAGTATATGGATTAGAAAATAAGAATTCCCTTCTCCAAAGAATAACGTGACAGGTTTACAGCACAGGTAACATCTTCATGCAGCAGGCACTGCATGATGTAGTCAGAGCATACTGGCTATCCACCCGCCTCTCTTGACCGGCCAACAGCAGAAATAGAAGCACTGCCTGGGATTAATTAAGATCAGACAAAGCCTAACTTTGCCTTAATCCAGCCAGCAGCCAAGAAGCTTGTTAGTAGAACTGCTCAGATGGAGCTTTTTTTTCATGTGCAGAAGAGTTTGTTGAGCGGGAGAGCGAAATCCACCAATAGACAGTGGAAATGCTTTCATTGCCCATTGGGAATATCTCAGACAAGACAAAGACAAATGCCTCCTTTGTCTGTTTCACTTTCACTTTGCAGGGAGAACCAATAATCAATTAGGAAAAAGCGGGAGAGTAGTAGAAATAATTACCACACGATGACATGCAAACTCTCTTTGCAGCCCTCCAGGCTGGATGCAGCCACACAGGCAATCAGCAAGCAGCAAGAACACCCTACAGCAGAGAGAAGCCCTCCATCAGCCCCCCGCTTCTCCTGCTGTCATCCCCTCTCAGCTGTGAGATAAAAACAGAGATAAAAAGCAGAATGCAAGTTGTGCTCTTTCTAACCTCCTTCGGGATGCTCATCAGCACTGCATTCACTTGTATTCCACAGATCATTCTTCTTTGGCAGCATCTTATCATAATTGCAGAAATCCCACTGCAATACAGAGTTTGGCAAACTCATCTCAGAACGACTCATTTGGTGCAAGCTTAGATTATATTTTAACTTCAATGATAAGAAATTACTGAGAAGATGACAAGCACAGTTAGTTTTAGATGCCACAAGCTGAGGAAGAAGAGGTAAGTTACCTACAACGATCTCATCATATTTTGCAACTTTTTCCTCATAAAATGCAAATTTCTGCAAGTGGATGGTTTGAAAATCCTCATTTAAAAAATAAAAAGGAAATAAAACCTAGAAATCAACAAGTACTGGCGTTGAGCTTTATGTTTTTCTATTACATATTTTCTTCTCCATCTCCTTTTTCTTTTTTTTTTTTGCTGGTGCTTCTAGAAAAGAAGAAATTAAGACAGCGCTTTGTTTCCTTTTCTGTGTTTGCAGCAAATAAAAGTTTTAAATCGGGTCATAAAAATCTTCCCCTTTTGCAGTTCTGTTCTGCTCAGATTATCACATCTAAGGCCACAGAACAGAGCAAATCATAACAATGAAGAGAAGGGGTATAACAAATGGACTGATGGCAAAAAAACAAATTACTTCTCTGGACAGAAGCTCTGTATTTGGGGTAGCTTAGATTCAGTTGAACAGTGGATTTTCCAGGTCAGTCGGCAAAAGGAAAAGAAAAATGTTTCAGATCAAAATGAAATGGAGTTTCAGAGCAGGGGAGAAATGTGGTGAAAATAACCATAATCAACGTCCAGCCTCGTTTACGTCCTCGTTCACAGGTAGAGAAATCTTACATTGGGCCTAACTGCCCGCATCAGACCATAAGGAAGCATCTCCTTCTCAGGTTGACCAGCACCATTACTGAAATGTAAAGTTCAAGGTTAAATGGTACATGATAGCCCGAGCCTCTGATGCTTCCCAAAAAGATAACTGGCCTTCAAATGAAGCCGGAGCACAGGGCTAGCCTGCCATGCAGGGGAGTAGCAGCAAACAAAGCAAAAGCATGCCAAAGTCATTTTTCCATTCTTACCTTTAATACATGGCAATAAACACATTTGTGTTTATTATCAAGACATTTGTGTTCAAGCTTTTTCATCCTCTGTTTCATCCATGCAGCTATTCTAAGGGCACGAATTCCCCTCTCCCAGGACATCTGTGAAGAGAAGCATTTATGGACTCAAAGACTGCACGGTGGCTTTAGAACCAGCACTTCGGAGTGCTGTTTTGTTCCAATCTGCCTAAGCCAGTCCTGCCCTCCAAGCTGTCAGTGAGTTCATTTCCTCAACAGCAATGAATGTAACCAAAGACAAAAACACAAAACGAGTCAGTGAAACTGGAGCTAATGACTTCAAAACACCTCTGATTGCCAGCGCTTCTGGCTTGTGATAACATGGTAATAGTCTAAAATTGGCTTCAATTTCTCTAGGAAATGGCTCGGTGTGTTTCAGATGTGAAGGTTTCTCACCTATGCAGAAAATGCCAGTACTTGTAAATATCAAACGCAGTAGCGCTACACCCTGTGTTAATGGGAACAGAACATCCACGCTGACACCCCTTGATTAATTCCTCCGTTGAGTATTAATATTCCCTGGCAGAAAGCAGGTGGAGGCCAAGTGCAGAGCTACGTCTGTGACACATAGGCGCAGATGGCTGTGCTCTCCAGCCTCCACCTCCCTCTGATGGACACGGAGCTGCTCCATCAGACTGCTTGCAGCCACAGGCATCTTTCTTAGCTCTAAAATATAGAAGTCACTATTTGGAAATCGCTGAACAGCAGCAGTTGCCTGAGCTGAGCAGACATATGTCAGTTGTCCTGGAATTTAAGTAACCAGAGCTTTGGAGCATGCACATTGCAGGCAGCCTTAGCTCAAGCAGCAGAACCATGGCACTGACTCCAGGCACCCCGTATGATGTGAAGTAATACCCTCTGCAGTGCAAATTCCATGTCCCAAAACTTCCTGAGGAGGGAATGCATCCCAGGAGTCAGGAAAAGGGGTGGAGAAACAGGGAGCTCTTTGCTGAGCTGGGGAACAACATGAGGAGAGGTCAAAGCAGTTGCCTAAAATGGTGGTAACAAATGTGACAAAAACACTGGAATGCGGAGCACAGTGTGCATTCCGGGGAGAAATGCCAGTCAGCATCTCCTGTGACCAGGAGAGGGGGAGCAGATGCATACTGGGTGTAAAAGTGTTGGGAGGATGCCAGTGGTCAGCATATCAGAGAGCCCTGGGCTCATTAGGAGCCTGCAGGCGCTGCCCCAACACCCCACACCATGCAACGAACCCAGCAACACATCTCTGCAGGGCTGCGGCTGTGGCCAGGCACTGAGCTCTGCAAACACTGCATCAAACATGAGAGTGTCTGAGGACAGGTGGGAACAGGGGCAGGAAAAGGAAGCACCGTAATTTAGACATGCTGTGAGAAAGACTCCTTTTAAAGACTGCTGCAGCACCACATTCAATAGCAGCAGCCTGACTTAAAAGCAACAGACGATTGACAGCTTTCTGAAATATATTTCTAGTCCAATTTGCTTCAAATCCCTGGACAAGGTGCCCAAGAATGGCAATTGTCTGTTGGGGGTACCTCAGAGGTCACTGTCATTTCTCCATTTCTGAGAGAGGAACTGTGACAGGGCCATGGTCTCTGCAGAGGTCTGAGGGCACTGACTCATGGCCTTCCCTGGAACCATCAGCACCAGGAATAATATTGGAAATAACACAGCGCAGTGAAAAGGGAAGACGATGAGTAAGCAAACAGCAGTGACAGTTCCACTGCTCCCCTCCCACACCTTGCCATTCCTCTACCTCATTGTCACTGCAAATCCATCACTACTCAGACAGCAAAAGTAATCCACTAAGGGCAGCAAACACGATATCTGAAGTTCCCAAAATTTCTCAGATCAAGGTTTATTAAAAGTAAAAATTGTAGAGTAAGAACGTTGCTGAATCAACGTCCCAGGCACTCAATCAGACTGAATTATGTCTCTGTCCTTAAAATATACACTGGATAAGTTTTAAACGGCCCCTGTAAAAGCCACTGTGTGTGCCTTGACATTAAGTCTACAGGAAAGTACCTACCTTCAGGATTTTCCCCATTTATAGGTCTTTTGTTCTGCTTCAAACTAATCAAAGTAGCTGCTCCTGGATGTAAAATGGAAAAAAAGAAAAAAGCTAATACATGATTTACTGCCAGCCTCCCAGCGAGCAAAAGGGCACACACCCATCACTGCAGGTAGGCAACTGCAAGAGGAAGAAGAATGATTCAGAGCAGCAAAGGGATGCAGGGTGTAGGCTGGGCAGGGAGCTGCATGAGATGGCTCATGGCTGCGAGTGTGTGCAAGGCCAGCCCGACACCAGGGAGGTTGTCAGAGGACTGCAATGAGACTACAGTGTACTCACATACAGAAGATGCCATTAGCTTTGAAGAACCGCTTATTTATCCCTTTCAGCAAAGCGGTGGGCCCTGATCTCATAAAGCACACAGATACGTGCTCAGCTGCTTCTGTTGGCAGATCAGACAGAGCACTTGCTCCCAGCTCTGCCTGGGGGCATCAAGGTCTCCTACACAGGCAGGACTCCTCTTTACACCCAGACAGGGTGGACTCTGAGCCCACAGTAAAGAAAAGCACCCTGCACAGTTTTTATCTGCTACTGCACTGCTGACAACAGGGCAGAATGCTGACAGAAGTTGGCAACAGTCAGGTCTATTAATTTCTAGCGCCTCACAGTAGGTTCACTTATTTCTTCCCACAGGAGTATGGGATGCAGATCCTCCTGTGCACTGGGAATCACCTTGTTTCTGCTGCAATTGCTGCTCCTGCCATCACCACTCACACCACAGATGATAATAAGCAGTGCAAATTTTCCCTTCTTACCTTTCGAAGGGAACCTGCATTTTCTATGTGCCCCTTGTGGACTGCTGCCCTTGGGGCTCTTTGTTCAGCCTGGCTGCAACACAAGAGCTTCAAAAATCAGCACAGGTTTTTTCTGATTCTAAAGGTTTTACTTACAATTGCCCCAAGACTTTGACCAGAGCTCACGTTTCACTGATCAGTTCCCTTACGAATTTCTCCACTTACCAGCTATTCTGCACAGCTACAGCACAGCCTGTTCCCTCTCCTTTCTTCTCATTTTTGGGCAGGCAGAAAACAGTTTGCTTTTGCCTGTAACACAAAGATCTCTTCAATTTTACTGCTAAGAAGTTTCATTCCTGGCAGATTGTTGGCTAAGCCCAACAGCTGACCACTTGTCCACTTGCAGTATGCAGTCATTGCAGAGGCAGGCCTCTTCTGAATGAAGTTGCCTTTGGGGACCACAGAGGTGCTTTGGCAAATAACAGCACCTCTGGGCCTTACTGTGCTGCTGTGGGGCAGGAGTAACTATTCTGTTAGCAGCTGGCATTTATGAAAGTGAAGATTCAAGCCACTGGGACAGCAATGAGAGAAGCGGGAAAAATGAAATCTGCCTATAGAAGAGCACTATAGAGAGAAGAGCCACAACAGGGCAGCTGTGAGCTCAGAGGATGGAACTGCTGAAGCACCCTTTCACATTGCCCAGGAGCAGCACCGCAGATTCACATGCATTTGCTTTCCAGTCCATCCTCCTGCAGTAAGCCTAGAGGACAAGCTAGGAGCTCAGCCTCCTGAGGGAACATAGCTTCGGCCCCATGCATGTCATCTCATGTTTTTCAGTAGGAAATTTATCTTGCACATATTTAATTAATGGAAACAGGGATAAACAAGCAGATTGCTTACTTCAATTATGTGCACAGCGCCTGCAGGGTTACCATTTAAAAATCACAAAGAAAGTAAACACTCAAAATGGGTAGAAAGCTGCAAAGAGGAATATACAATCTGCAGCTTACCTTGATGATGACTAACAACATCTCTGCACTGAGAATGAGGCTATACTTAGCAAATGAGTATAATTCAAAATTTTTCAGCCATCTGTAAATAACATTTACCTGGAGCAGCTTTACATAATTAAATGACTCACTTATTAGTGTTGTATAGACCCATCTGCATAGAGAAAACAAAGGCAGGGAAAGAAAGAATCAGAAGCTCTCCATCATTTATTTAAATTTCTCCCAAAGGCAATTTCTCCAGAAATTCCCAAATTCCATGAAGTCAAACATCTGCTTTCTTCACAGCATAACACGCTGAAAGCAGCATTACCTGGACAAACAACTTTCTCTCTAAGCAGCTTAGCAAGTTTGTGTAAGTGCTTGAGCTGCTGTAACGAGGCAAGAAAGTCATTCCATATCCTATTTAAAAAGGTAAATAACGTCCATGTTAGTCTGAGTCCCTCTGCACTCTGCACTGCAAAGAAAACACTTTGGTTATTTCTGTTTCCTTCTTCACTCAATAGATGCCCATGATCAGAGCTAAGCAGAACTGGATGCCACACTGGGCATTTCTGATTCCTCATTTATTTTCCTGAGCACCTGTGGGAATATTTTCCCCTTACAAATGGAAGAAGAATAAAAATATCATTAAAAAAAAAAAAAAAACACAGTAAATTTCTGTTCAGAGATCTCTGTGGGACTGAAGAAGTCTTGCTGCCAAAATTTAGTTGTAAAATACTCCTCTAACGCAGCTGTATTTTCCCACTCAGCATAAGCTGGGAGAATCAAGTTCCTGTCTGGTTTACACATACATTTCAGCGATTGAATCAGGAGACCCCAGAGGAACAAGATTCAGTTTCATTGGATCTCCCAAACCCTCTCTGCGAAATGGAGCTTTCTGTTGCACCACGTGCCCAGGCATTCCTATGATGCTGTGCAGCGATTTGTGACCACTGTCTCAAATTTAATTGTATTAATGAGATGAAGCTAAACGAACTGCTGCCTTACAGATTATTTGCATGTAACACAGAGGTGTTACACGACTGGAAATAATTCAGTACCGAACACTACAGAGGCTAAATTCACCAGATGTGCCAATGGTTCTGACACCCACTACAAAACACATCCCAGAAGAGAGGAATAAGGTTTATGCAACATTCAGTCAAAATGTGCAGCCCTTCTTACACACTAACTGCTACTTTAGCAACAGAACAGGTATGGGACCAGAGATTTCTGACCTGTGAGCAGCTCACACCAAGCTGGAGACGTCAGTGACCCCCTAGAGAGCACCAGGTTCCTGACTGCAGTTGCTTGCCACACAGGGCAGCCAGCTGTCCAGGTCTCACACTGATAGTCCATGTCACTGAACACACAAAAATCATCATCTAAAGGGACTTACAGCTGAAACAACGGTTCTGCCTAAATGAATACTGCTATCTATTGAACAGAGCCAGCACCAACGTAACTGAGACCAGAGTGTGGTCCTGGGTTTATAGGAGCTGACACAAACCACATCAAGTAACTCGACCTACTTTAGCTCATTAACATGAAACTCATCTCTACTTTGCCAGGTTAGCACTAACGCTATCCAGTTCTTCCAGCTCCAGAGCCGCAGGTACCTCCCAGTGCTGTCAGATAACTAGATGATATGCATGACTGAAATCCCCACAGATAAGATCAAGCGTGCAAAAGAGATGTAATTGACTTTAGAACAAAGTCAAATTTGCAGTCATTATCCTACTTGCACTAATTTCTAAAGATAAAAAATGGCATGCATTAAATACTGCCATCACTTTCTTTCTGGTGACGAGAATCTTCTAGCAAGTCCTAAAAAGCAAAAAATAAACATCAAGTGCAGTGACTATCATAAAAGCAAAACAGCTCCAAAATGCAGTACATTTTGCTTTCAGCAAAGATTTTCCAATCAGCTCCTTCCCAACACAGGTAAGGGTGAACTTTGGCAACTCCACCATGCGAGCAGAACAAAAGGAAAGGCAGCTCCTGGCTTTTTTGTTTGTTTGTTGTTGTGTTTTTTTTTTGCCTCAGGAATCAAAATTTCATCATCTATATCCCAAATACAAACAACCTAATATAGCTCCCATCTAATGGTGAGTATCTCCTCTGATGAAAAGAGTATGACAACTTCTACATCAGAAGACGACTGTGAGCTTGCTTTCTCAAACTAGCTGATTCCAAGGAAAAACCTGGAAACAAATTATTTGGAATCCAGTCTTTCTGAACCTACACAGCAATTTCAGTCTTATCAACTTTTACCCAGCTTAGCACCTCTTCTTCCCATGCATACAAAGACAAACAGTTTGGAAAGCTAGATGTTCTGCTTGCTGTAGCCTTCACTTTATGTTCTATAAGGTTTTCTGAAGGAAGATGCTTGCTTCTGCACCTGAAGCAAAGCTTCCTCTTTTCTTTCTACTAACATTGCCTTTAAATGAACTGAATGGATTTAAATCATGCACCATGTAAAATCCTGACCACTTCTGTTTGTCTGTGCACCTCGTAACAACACAGGATCTTGTAGAAGCAAGGTCTACAAGGTTAAGTTTTGCACAAAGTATAAAAAGAATCCATTTGTCCACTTCAAGTTTGTCGCCTGCGAGTTTCATTCTGCATCCCTTTAGCATGCTGAAAATACACACAGAGAGGAATAACCCCACTAACCCTCTCCGTGCTGTTCATTATTACACATCCTTCTGTCATAGCCCTGTTCATTAGCCTGCTCTAAGAATTAAATGGGGTTTATCTTGCTTAATACTGTCTCAAATGACAGTCCCCCTCTGTCTGTAATTATTTCAGCTGACCCTTCTGGTCCCTTTCACTCTCTGCTCTAGGCTTCTTTGAAAGATGATTTTGCAACTATTTCTTCAGCTACAAAGAAGCATCAATAAGAGGGTCTGAAACTGCAACATGGTATGCAGGGAGGCTCCTGTGTTATTAATATTTATTTCATGCTGGTGTCTAGAGGCATCAGCTGAGGCAGAGCCCTGTGCGATAAGCTGCACAGCCATGTAGTACATGACAGTCCTGGCTCAGAGGACTGCATCATGAAGGCTGCAGGGATCTCAGATGGAGAATTCATACTGCAAGTTTACTTGTCTAATGCAAACTCATTGCCTTTCAACTTCCCAGCAGACACAGCCTCTGTTCAGTGAGGATGTGCTGCATGTTTGATAATGAGAGCACCTACCTTTCATCCCCAACAAAGGGAAGCGGTCCCTGCTGTCCCACACAACCTTTACAGCGAAGCTGCAAACAAATCCTTCATGACACCTACACGTGGTCAAAAACAGCACTAGGCCATCACATTCCAAAGAATGATGGCACTGACAACAGCAAGGGACAGAAAAGCTTGGGGCTTCTGACACAAATCTGCCCTCTGAGCAGACACGGAGAAGACGCTGACCCCAAACTCACATGTAGCAGTCACTTTAAAGTCTGAAGCATTTCAGAGACCAAAATCACTTCAACCCAGGCCCTGGGGAGAATGCATTAGGCATTACACAGCCTGCTTCCAGAGCGCACCAGTGTTGCTGATGTAGTAAGGGAGAAAGCATTTCAGGGGCATCAAGCAGATAAATAAAATGCCTTTGAAAGTGAACAAAGTCACCTAAAATGCCTTGAACACAACCATGCAGTCTTCAGTCTGCTGCTTTCCGTTCACACTAGCAGTGTACAAGTGCCAGGACAAGCTATGCCCATACCTAGGCTCAGCCCTTTCCTCCCACCCAGCAGACAGCTGCTCTGCGTTTCTCCAGCCACCTCCTCCAAAACAAGCCCTTTCCCCTGTGCCACAGGGGCTGCCTCCTGCTCAGCTTTCTGCTCTAAGCCAGAGCCTGCAAGCACCCCTGGAAGTACACAGGCATGTTCACTCCCTTGCATTTCTCTGCTGGGAGCAGTTTGCTGTGAAATGTGTTTTACCACAGGAAAACAGAACGCTTGCTTATGGGCATGAAGGTGGCTCTGCACAGCTCTGATCACTGTGTATGTGACCCTTCCAGCAGGGTAAAGAGCAAGGTGGAGAAGAGCACCTGGAAGAAAACAGCTTCAGCAGCGAGCACTCAGTCCCATGGGCTCTTTCATCCTTTGAGTACATACAGGTGAACATAAAAGCAGCCAGAGCGAATGAGCAAAAAGGGCAGTCGAGGAGTTCCTTGAGGAGGTGTTGCAGGATGGCAGACAGTCTTTGACTTTCTTTGCTTTTCTCTGATAAAGAGCTAACACTGAAACTAGTCACTTACCCAAGTTGCGAGCAAGAGCATTTTTACTAGTACCCACCTTTGCTTCCACTGTTGATTTCAAGACCAAAACAGGGGCCCAATGACCATCCAGGCATAATCATAACAGAGGGCTCAGAGGATGGAGCACTGACTTCCAGCACAGACAGGAGGGCAGAGGACCCAGGCAGGATGGCTCAGTAATACCTCCTGGTGAAAATTTCAGCAACTCTGAAAAGTTATCAGAAAAAGTGAGCTCTCATAAAAGCTGCAATCACAGTTGTTTCATTGGCCTGTTACTCTTCAGATACCAACAAGAGGAAGAAACCCCAATGCTAAAATTGCTCAGAGCAGTTCTGAAGGCTCCACCCAAGCTGCTCAAGCTCTCAGTGTGGTTCACCACACTAAACCTGCAAGCACTGCTACCGTGTTCCAAATCCCTTCTGCTCCCCCAAGGTCTCTGCAGTGCTCAGGCAGAACCACCACAAGCTCAGATCTAACACCTGATTTCCTTCAAAAAAGAAAAGGTTTTATCTCCCCTGCTATATAGGTCAGCTATCCACAACAACACCACCCAAGTTTACACATTCCTCTTCATCGCCTTCTAATTCTCTTTGTGATTTGGGGCAGGTCAGTCTCCCTCGCCCCTAGCATTACACCAAGGGCACATTTTTGAACGTGACATAGCACATGGGTTCCTAATGTCTGACCAGAAATGGAGCACACGCAGTCACAAAGCTGCAGTTCATCATTCCTGCAATGTTTCAAGGTCAACAGAGATTAATGTGATTTTAATACAATTGCTCAATTATAAACTTGTCTGATTTTTGGCCTTGCACATGCATTTCCCATGGCACAGCCAAGTCAATCAGATATCATCAAAAGCAGTAGCAGAGGGGTATATTTATTAGATATTCTGAAGTGGAACATAAACTTTAAAAATCTCAGCTTACTGCAGAAGAAAGTAAAGATGGAAAAACTATTGAACAGAAGAACGCCTGTGCCGTAAATAAGACATGGCACTGCAGTTAATTCTCTTTTAGAACAAATGCATTAAACATTTATTACACCAAATGTTAGTTTAAAACAATCATTAAAATCCGTTTTCTCTCTGTCCACTGGAGATGGGTTATTCATTTGAAGTTGATGAAGCTTCCCTAATTTCAACATCATTATTTCTATGGGCACATAACAGGAGCCATTATATTTTAGATTCACGTAGTAACGTTGCCCAATTTCTTTCTCACACTTTGCAGCTCCTGTTGCAAGCCTTTGTACTGAATAGGAATATTTCACTTAAAAATGAGTCTCTTAATGACCCCTGTCTGGAAATACAAGCACAGCATGTACGAGAGGCAGAAGTCAGCTCAGGGTAACGCACACAGACTGATGAGTTAAACAAAGAGTCTGAAAAGAAGAAATGAGCTGAAATGATCTGTCTCACAAATAACCATTTGCCATAGGTTTTTTGCACTTTACTCTTTGCTAGGCTATTTATCCCCTTCCTAGCTGAAAACAAGGGCCCGCATGTTTTGCCAGCCCTGTGTCAGCATCCAGCAAATCCCAATGGAGCTGGAGGATCTCCGTGCTGTTGGGCATTGAGCAGCCCCGTACTGCGGTGCTGTGCAAGAACTGGGCATGGGCCAGGCGGGCTCAGGCACTGCTCTCTGCTGCTGCCCACTGTGGGACCGACTCCCCTTCTGATATTCTACAGAGGCCACTCATCAGAGGATGAACAGCCTCCGATGTGTTCCTCGTCAAGGGAAAGTAGGGATCACATCTTAGTTAATAACGAATGCTGAAAAGGGCAACTTTAGCTTCTAAAATACATTAATTGACAGCAATTAACATGTGGATCTTGTCAGATTAGGACTAAGAAAATTGCTGCCATCTACTGCTGGAAAGAAATATGTGAATGCTGAAAGCCTCTTCCAAAAACAGGCTACGAACTGAAGGGAAGTGTAATTCAAGGGCATCTCAAACCCTGGGAAGGGAGGTTGTCATTCATGAGAAGGACGGGACCCTGCAGCCAGAGGTCAGACTTTCAGGCTGGGCAGATAAAGCTCTTCCTTCTCTGTGAACGAACACTTCTTATTCATAAAGGAGAGAAGTAAGGAGGCTGCTAAGCACCTTCTACACTACGCTCTGTGCAAAGCTGTACTTAAAATACATCCTCAGGTGTCCCAACAACTCACAGTTGTGACATACAAGCACATTTTATCAAAGGGATAATTGTTTAAACCTTGAGAAAACCTTTTACTTTGGATTCTCCATTTGTTTAAAATTTAGGAGTTACTTTTCTCTCTACTCTGAGTACATTCAGCTGTACTCATTACAGTAACTCCAATGAGCTGGAGCAGATGAGGCAGTCATCTCTCCACCTCTCTGGTTTGGGACAGGTCAGCCCAGTAAAGATGCTCCTGTGTCAGGGATTTGTAGATTCAGCATTCAACAGAAACTCTAATCTACAATGCAAGCAGGTGTCCTGTTGAGAAAATGCAGGGTGGAAAAATAAGTCTTAGAAAGGGAGCATGGAAAGGTCTGAAACAGGTTTGTATTCAGTCAAAGCTCTGAGGGCACAGCAAGAGTCTGCAAAGCAGAATTCCCAAGTCTTGTTCCCAGTCCCTGCACCCATCAGGTGTGCTCGTGCTTCCTCTTAGGCAGGGTCACTCCAGCAATGTTTTGCTTCAACAGTACATTTTCCATCCAAAACACCTGCTTTGAGGACAGAGAAATACCTCTGTTACACAGTGAGATCCATGCAGCAGGTCCAAGCCCTCTACATGGACCATTGTTTTCTCTGTGCTTTTCCAGGGACTGTTCATCTAGCAGGTGTTACCTGCTATATTCTGCCTTGGATGAGCTCCGCTAGATTTAACGTTTCCCTCTTTGCCTCACACCATTCTGCAGAGAGCACAGCAGCGTGTTTCCACTATCCTCTGCAGCAACCACAGCCTTTGCTGAGCCACACATTGAGTGCATGGCTGACACAAAGCGTCTTTGACAGCAGTGTTCACAAAGGCCTTCAAGTCTTGGTCCCACGGAAAAAAAAAAAAAAAAAAGAAGAAAAACAACAAAACAACGTCTGCTGTGTTCAGACCAGCTCTGCAGTGTCTGCAGAGCAACTGCTGCTATTCAGCTCCATCGTGAGGGCAGAGATGCCATCAGTCCTCTGAGCAGGTGATTCCACTGGGACTTTCAAGAAGGGAACAGGCTGACAGAAAGGGACGAGAGCAGATCAGACCTGCCTCAACTACTAAACATTTTCCATTGCCTCTTACTTCTCAGAACTCTGCCATGGACACAAAGCAGCTGAGAAGCAGCACTTAGATCTTTGCTGAGACCTCAGTGCAGCAGTAATTAGAAGGGTGAAAAGCAGTAATTTTCCTGAGTAGTTCACTCTCTCCCGTACACACATCATGCTTAGCACATCGATTTATCAGCAATTAAAGCCTACTCTTTTATCTCCAACACTTTCATTATATAGCTGGTAGTCAGAAGTATCTGAAATGCCTGAAGTAGTCCCTCCATTCCCCAGCCTCAGCGGCAAAAAAAAGGTTTGAAGTAGAAAGACCTCAAACACATATCGTCAACTTTAGGCAAAACCACACTCAGAAACAAGACACCCTCCTCAACCTGGCACGTTCTTCTGGCCCCTCTCATCCCAGCTCCTGCAGGCACACGGCAATGGCTGGCACACAAGTGGCAGGCAGCAGCTGGTGTTTGCACAGAGGCACAAGCAGCCTCTCCCCTCCCAAGCACAGCACCCAGCCATGGGCAGCACCAAGAGCCCATGCTGCCTGCTGCCCCCAGGCACGGCGCTGTGCATCGCAGCACCATCCTGCTGCAGCTGTGGACAAAGACAGAAAGGCTTACTTGTAAAATCCTGACAGAACGGGGTGCCTGAATAATGCTTTCCCAGGAGGAGGAAACAGCAGAAGGTGGCTGTTTCATCCTAGAAAATGGCGAGCAGTCTCTCAGTCTCATGGAAATCAGCCTAAACAGAAGCATTTATCTCAGGTTATCCCACGAGGAGCACGTCAGCTGTACTATCCAGTGAAGAACATCTGTACAATATTTGCCTGCCAGGAAAAAAGTCTCTACTGCACTTTCCCAAAAGGAAAACTTTGATAGCCTTTCACTGACAGAAGTAATAATTATCCACACAGGAGCATACCATTAGAGCTCCCTTGACAAAGATTTATTTATTTATATGTCTATGCCCTGGAAGAAAACAGATGATGAATGAAGCACTTTATTTTGCTAACAGAGCTGCAGAGGAAGAGAAAGGGAAAAAGTCACAGGGCAAATAAAACACCTGAAGGAGCAACTATCACAGTAAGGCAAGCAGAGCACAAGAGAGACACTGCTAGGTGCAACTGCAGTGCTGAGGTGAGCACCTCACGGTAAAGACAACCTTCTCATCAGATGCATGGCTGTCACTGCCCTCACTGCCTCCAGTCTGATGGCACTGGGCCTCCTTTGGCAGCCAGAGCCTTGGAGGAGCGTGCAAAGGCAGGAGAACAAAAGAGAGACTTGCAGTTAGCAGTTATTTTCCTGGCTCTGCTGTAGTATTCTTCCCACTGTTCTCCCTTTCAAGAGATCTTAAGAAGCTGACAGAGGGAGGACACACAGTGTCAGATATTACACGCGGAACGCGGCTTAACGTGCTCATTAGTCTGCAAACAGGAGAACACCGCAGCTAGTCACAAGGCTACCACTGTGGTGAAAAGAAAGCAAACACTGATTTCTCTTAAAATGTTTTTGAATCAAGTCCTCTAGTCCTGCAGCTTTTATAAAAAGGCAGTATTGGTGTTAGAGGTTCCACATAAATGAACACGAGCCCTTCTTTGTTCCGCAGCTTCCCCTGATGGCTGCCCCTCCCAGCATTCGTCAGCTCTGTTAGGCATTCTCCTCGGTGAGAGATGAGCACAGCCAAGCACTGAGGCAGCAGCCCTGCAGAAAGTAAGGATCTCGAGGTCTGCACCTCACTGACCTGAAGCCTGGAGCCCTGATTCTAGCATCCATACTGTGCGCTGCCTTATCCAGGACCACGACCTCTGATGGGAGCAGTGCCTAAATGAGCAGAACCAGCTTGAGATTTCCATAAGAATAGGAACACAATACTTGGCAGAATGTCTCTTGGCTCCATTACATCAGTTATTTCTTTGATTCCCGCTAACAGTCTTGTCAA